GACAATGACAGTGAAGTGAAACCAGTGAACCAAGACAAACACAATGAATATTTCCACTATTCAGGCAATAAACCACATTTCGCCGTTGAAGTAGCACAGTTCCATAATGTTAAGTCACCAGAAAATCATTATGAATCGTATCCAATCAACCCACACACAGGTCTTAATAAGCCACAATTTGGAAAGCACCAGATGCTTAATAGTGAGCATAAAAATTATAAACCATATCAAGAATACGTAAAACAAGATTATGGGCATGTCAAGCCAATTACCAATTATTATGAAGTTTATCACCCTTATGAAGCAGAGGTTCCAGCGCTTCAAACTATTTATAAAGATCCTATATTAAATAAAATAAGAAATGATGTAGTTGATGCGAAAAATAGGCTTCAGAAATATGAGCATGATGCTGGAGAATCCGATGTACATAAAGACGAATATTTGGAACGTCCAGATTCGATAGATAAAAAAAAGGTACCACACAAAAATATACCTGTTCAGTATGAAATCCATAGGCCAGTTAGACGACCAATTTATTACCAACGGGTACCTATTCATAGTAATCGAGAACATATTTTAAACCAAAAACTAAGACATCCCTGGAGCCAAAGTTATGCTAAAGTTACTCCTATGCATTACCATCCCTTAAAACATAACTTACATCAGTTACGACAGCAACATTCACTCACATATGATGATAGCAAAAACGAATATCCACAAATTATGCCTCCTGAACAGTATGCTGAAAAACCTGAGGGTTACGATATATATGAGAAAGGAAAAGAAAATTATAAAAATATTAGGAATGGATTTGAGGAATCCATAAATAAAGCGGTTCTTAAAAACAGACCAATAGTGATGGATAATTTAGAATTACAAAAAGACGATCATGCATCTAATACCGAAGAGGACGAAAATGAAGAATTTATACCGATAAAAAACTATGCTCAAGTGCGGAAAACTACTACATTTAAGCATCTACCAAAGTCAGCTGCTTATGAAGATGCAGACAATTTAGAAGAAATACAAAACGCTCCAAGATTAAGGGAAGCCATAAAAAGTAGTAAAAATCAAGTTGTTTATTCTGAAGAAGGGTACGAAGATTCCGCTTATGATCACGCAGGAGAACAGAAACATGCATCTGATCACGAAGGGCACGGTGGCTTCTTAACGGAAAACGAAGCTAGCAAAGGAAAATATAAAATTCCAACTGTTGATACTGGGTTTACCGATGAAGGTAAAACTAGTTCTATTGATCAGATATTACACGGTGAAAAATGGAACGATGAACATTCTGAAGATTTAAACGAAAATGACTCGGAAGATTATTCTGAAAATGAAAATGATTACTCTGAAAGAAACGATGCACAAGCACCCGATAATGACAATATAAGTGAAAGAAATAAACGTGAAAGTAATAATACTAACTCTGTAAATGAAAACTTATTTGATCATGATTTATCAAAAAGGGAAGTGAATTTGAACTTATCAAGTACGAAAGAAGATGGAACAGAAAAAAACTCAAATCTATCTCGTCAAAACATTGAAATCTCTATGAATAAGTATCCGTATTATTTCAATAGTTTGAAGGCTCTAGATAAAAATTCACCTCTACGCTACTCCGAAAACCTCAATCTTATCCCTAATAAAACAAAAGACAATAGCGCATTCTACAATTCAAGACTAAATCTTATTTGTCCTGAAGTTGAAAAAGAAGTAAATCCAGTACCAGATAAATTTGATAACGATGAAGTTTCTCAAGACAGCCAAGGTGAAAATTATAATAATGATGAAAAAGGAGAGGAAGAATTTAAAAAATTCAAAGACAAACAACGGTTGGAAGGGTTAGGAGATAAAATAGATTGTTTTAAGAAAAAATATTTTGGACCAGAACCATTAGACAGTCCATTTTTTACCGAAAGTTTAATTAAAAATCCACAACCTTTAGAACTAATAAATTCAAGCATATTTTCTGCAGATAAACTAGAAAAACATTTAATTAATCAACAGAAAAATAAAGAAAAAGCATTTTCTAACGGTCTGTATGGAAGTAATAACACCTTTGAGGATTTTACAAAAAATCAAAGCAATTCTTTTAATAAAAAAAATATTACGATAATAACGAAACTTAGAAAAAAGAGAGGGGTAACATTTATGTATGAACCATATAAGGTCATAAAGGATAGTCAAGCAATAGATTCCAAAAAGTTCCCCACTTCAAGTAATATTAGCCCTGTTATAAGAAAACTGCAAACAAGACAAACTGTTGACACGAGTAATAATCAAAAGTACTATAAAGATATCGGTAAAAATGAAAGACCTCTAAATGAACAAGATTTCATAGATGTTAGTAAAGACCAACGAAGAGGTGAACCGCGGTATGAAATAGATCTAAAAAATCATCGACCACAATATAGTCCTGTTGAAAATAAAACTTCAATGTCTATAGAAGACTATAAAGAAAAGACAGCTAACAAAAACGATAAAACGAAAATAAACTTTGTGCCTTCATCGAACAGACCACAATCTATCACATTTAAATATATTCCACGGACTGTGACTACCCAAAACATTGCAGCTAGTAATATAATATCAAAAACCATTCAGTCAACAACAATTAAACCTCAAAATAAAGAAGAAGAAGATCTTGATGCCGATTACGAAGAATATGAGGATGAAAGCGATGAAATAACAGAGGAAAAAGAATTTCGTGAAACAACAAGTACAACCACGAGTACTACAACACCAAATCTGATTAAGAGAATTCATTTGGCACCTACAGCTAAACCTAAAGAAGATGCAAAATCTAACTCGATGAAACTTCAGCTTACTACCCGGTTTCACACTTCTACAACAGATGCCGCGCCCATACATTTATATCCTCCTAAACATAGTGAACAACTTATAAGGACACCAAATTACAGAGAAAAGAAGAAAAAAACAACAAAGAGTACGCTTGTCACAGATACAGAATCTTACGGTGATGACACTGATGATATGAAAAGAGAAGAAATTGATGCTATGATAGGCATAAAACAAGACATGGATGAATATACACCAACATATGAAAAAGAAAATAAACACAGCGACAGTACCAAGAAGCATAAGAACTCCTACGAAAAAGTAATTGATGACCAACTACGAGAAAATGATGAAAGCCAAGAAGAAGAAGATGATGATGATGATTCTAGCGAAGAAGATGAATATGATGATGGCGAAGACGACGAAGATGACGAAGATGACTTAGATGTAATTGACAATAATCAAGAAAACAAAAATCACAAATTGAAAGAAACTTCTCCTCTACCAGACAAACGAGGCAAAATTCAAGTAACTACATCGGAACCAACAAAAAGAACTCTAATAAAAACCACTGAACCAACATCAACTACAGAAGTCTTGTATGATGACATACAACCAACAGTTTATCGTAAAAAAGTTGAAATCCATAAAGAATTGCCTGTCAATAAAACATCACCACATGTGACACACTATAAACAGGATTTAAAAGAAGTAGAAATTATTAAAGAAGTAGACCGCCCACATATACCTAATAATAATCATCCTGGCTCGCTAAATCTTTACAAAGACGAAAGTTTAGCTAGAGAAATAAATAATTTGGGTGATATTGATGTGTTCCATGACAATATAGATTTTGAAAATGGTCCAAAACACGGAGGTAATTACAGAAGTGTTGAGCACAATGAAAATTCAGATAGTGATGTTGAAACATCTCAATCTCAATCAAAAAAAATAATTGAACCTGAAACATCAACAGTTAAGCCAAGAAATCAGAATTATCGTAATACAGAATCAAAAAGACTAGAAAAAAGTGATATGGCTAAGTCGACGTCAAGATCGCGGAACGTAGATCGTAGACGAAAAACAAATAGATTTAACACCGAAAAAAGTGCAAAACTCATAGAACTACAAGATGATGATAGCAATGGCGATAATGTAGAAAATTACAACGTATATAACGGAAACTCTAAAGCCGATTCGAGAAATAATAATGAACCCATGCATGGGGGAAATTATAGAAGTGCAAAGATTACCTTACATAAGAATAATCAGGATACTACAACAGAAAGCAGTACGACAAAGAGAATTCTTAAACAAAAACTAAATAGAAAAACAGAAGCAGAAGTATTGAACGCCTACGCAAGAGCAGCGACTGAAATCACTACAATACCTGCTTTCATTTTAGATCCAAGTAAAAGAATGTACTATTATCTAGAAGACTAGTAACTGGAAACATTAGTATTCATGAGTGCCAAAATTGTTTTCCAGTGTTGTAAAACTAAATATATTTGTCATATAAAATTGTTTGTTTTTGAAAGCTAGTTGCTAATAATTTCTGTGATAAAATGAACTAATTAAAATTATTTATAAATATTATCATATACGTATTTATATTGTATTATAATGTAAGTTTCGTTTTCAATATTGTAATGTTATCTGTAAATGTGTTTTATGTAAATTAACTGTAAAACATTATTTTTTTATAATAATTAAATAATTTTATTAAAAGTCTATATTATTTATTCTATACTAGTCCAGGAAAAATAGTATTTTTTACTGAGTCCTTTAGTTTAAACTTTAAATAATTATGTTCTTGTAACAAGAAATTGTTGTAGATATATACAAGCAACAAATCTACCTAGATACTTGTATATTTATCATGCACCACTTATATTAACTAAAACCCATATAATTTATTTTATTATTAAAACGTTCTAAATTCTAAATATTTTATTGCACTGGCAAGTTTATTACACTTTTTATATTGTCTATCTTAAAATACTATAATCTACTTAATAAATAGTTCACTAATACTATGGTATAAAAATATAAATAAATAGCAACATAATTTGGTTTGGGCCAGGTTATCCAGATTCTTTCAAATTAAAGAAACTATAAATAAACCTGAGAATAATAATTTATAACCTCACTAATCGAATGAGTATCTAAGTATAAAAGTATTTATATATTATGAAATTTTAGTGCTTCCTCCTATCCACAGGTGTGTGGCTAATAGGTTTCCATTCTGATTCTGATGATTGAACATATGAGTCTAAGTTATCTTCTCTATCAATAGAATCACTATCTTTCTCTTCTTCTTCGAAGAAATCTATGATTGGGTGATAATTATAATTAATCTTCTTGCCATTTTCGTCATTGCTATGTTCTCTTGTTATATAAATGTTTTCTTTTGCTGCTGGGAGCTTAGGGGCTATCGTAGGTCGAGTGATGGCGTGATTTATAACTTTATTAACCTGAGATTCATCTACTTCGTCATTTAGATCGTCTAAAGTTTCAAAATTGTCAATCTGAAATGCTCCAATAGCTGATGTTCCCGACGACATTAAGTCATCCGGAACACTGGAAATTTTCTTTCTTATTGGTCTTCGGTTTGGCCTGGGACCCTTTTGAAAATGATCACTAAGCTTGTATTTGGAATCTTTTGAAAACGAAAATGATGAAGGTGCTGACGGAGTTGGTGGTTCTAAGAAGCTTGGTAAAGTTACTGATTCTGAAGGATTTGAAAGTCCAGCGGGATTCCTTGGTACCGGTCTTTTAATGTTACGAATTGTGCTAGCTTGATTAAAGGAATCTGGAAAGTAGGAATTACCATAGGAATCTGTCGGTCCTGATCCTTTAATACTGTCAAAGTCATTATTTAATTGTGTATTAGAAAATGCCGAACCTTGAACTGAATTGTCGGCAAATGGTGGAAAAGAGTCGATTGGTCTATTAAATCCAAAGCTCGGTGATTTATTTAGCACAGGTCTTTGTACCGATGATTGGACGTCTTCGAATGCCCGATTGCCTTGTTCTGAGGAAAGGTCCTCGCCAGGAAAGTGTTCCGAAGATGTTTCATGCACTCGTTGGCCAACAGGGGGAAATGATACGCTATAGCCTTCAATGTGACAAGAGCAACACGTCGGAACCTGAAAAATAAATTTTCTATGACTTTTGTAATAAATATACATTTGAAAATTAAATAGAAAATATGTATAAAGGGGATACAAACAAGATATTCTTACTCCAATAGCGAAACGTAATTTTTTGGGTACAGATATTCTCATGTCCATAAAGTTTTACTGTACCTATACATAAAAAAAATTTACTACCTTAAAAATATCCATATGCAATCCATTTTGTTGATCCCATGTCAATAGTCTGTGGTAATTGTATACTTGAACACATTTTGATTTGAAATTGTCCGTAAGATATGTACAGGGTTCTTTTGGTTTTCTGAAATGAATGAATTCGTTATAAAATATTATGTGGAGCATACAATGCAATGCAATGGATTGGGAGAAGTCGTTTATTTCAGTATATATTTTAAATAGTATTTTCATACTATAATTATTATGATAATGCAAAATTTATTAAAACTTACAAGCACTTTTCCAATCGTAGGGTTTGTGTATGTTCTCCAGTATTGACAATATATTTCCATTGACCAGAAGTGGCTCTTGCTCGCTGTGGTCTGGCATACTTCACTGTACTTGGACACATGAAACCGGCTTCTCCAGCACTGGCAAAGTCCCTATTTGCTGTATCACCACGTCTGGAAAATTCAATTGTTACAATATTATATGCACAGGAAAGCAAAGTAGAAACAAACCAGTAAGTACATATAAAAATAGGACAAAATAGTTGCATATTACGGTGTTCATAGGTCATTTAAGTAATATCATTATCACACTTAAATAAGCTACTGGTAAAATTATATTTAAGTGTAGTAGTAAAAATTAATTTAATTTAAATATTGTGTTTCTGGTTTCGAATTCACGGTCGTTATCTATATGATTAGTTCTAAGTACCTGTTAGATATCAAATAATGATCAGCTGTATATTTAGCTTCTTGAGCAGCCGTAATCCCGTCTACTGCTCCTTCACCAGGCTCCTTGATGTCGGCCAGAAGAGCACCGGCAGCTTTATTTCTTCTTAACGAGCTAAGTATCGCATCACTGTAAAGATAAAATAAAATAAAAAATACAATATAAGAGATTAAATATTATTTTATATGTAAAGATTGTTCGTAACGCGGTTTGTTAAATGTAATGACAGCAGACTATGTGAATGTCTAACAGAAATATTCCTGCGTCGATCTCCTGTGTATACCTTTGTAACAAATAATAAAACAACAATTAAAAACGGGTAAAACACTAATGATTAAAAATCCATACAAACTTTGTATTTAAGCTCAAAGTTACTAATCTGACTTAAATAATAATAATTAATTTGTAAATATTAAGAAACCACTTGTAAGAGATGAACCATTAATTTGGCAGTTAGCCTAATATATGTGGTTTATTTATTCGTTATCCTTCATCTAACAAAAATTGTATATAATAACAAACAATTACACTAAAAATATAGCCAGAGATGGAATACATTATACCTACAAAAAGGTTCAAACATTTACAAAAGGGAACAAAGCAATAAAAATAATTTCAATCCTAGCTGCTAGGCTTATTAATTTCTAAATACATTTCATTATTAGCATTATCATAAAAGATTTTGTTACACGTTCTACTACCTCAAAAGGTGACTATGCAGGGGCTTAATTCAAATGACGCTATGTAAGCTGTACGCAGCGACTTTCGCTAAGCTTTGCCTCTTTCCCTTTTATTTACTTTTGCTTTCGTTACTACGCTCTACTTACGCAACCATTGACCTCACATTTTTTGTCAGAACAGTATCTTCTTAGGTATGCGTTGGGTTTTAAAATATTGTGGATTTTATTAACGATGATAACTCAGGTAAATTTCACTTGAGTAAATTTAATCTACCCACGCGTACAATAAAATTGAGTTAATGATCGTGTGTTGTGTTCGTGCTTTTAAAAATTGTGTGAGTTTTATTACATTAAATTGAATAGCACTAATACCATAACACAATATAACATTGTTAATAATAATAATGTGTGATTAAAGAATCCAAGAAGATTATAGATTCAAGTTCTTATAGGCCTGCAATGAAGGAAGCTTTGCAACACCAACACGACATTTAGTAATGCAGAACGTGACTGAAGAGAGAAGAGAAGAAAAATGCTGTAACAACTTGGCGACTAAACTCCTCTTCACACTCTTTGACAACTCTTTGTTTTTAATTTATGTTATTATTATTAATTACTTAAGATGTCATGTGGAACATGGTTTAATGGTTGCAGCTCCTTACAAACGTTGTGTAAAAAAAAAACATGGCGATTAAAATGAGTGGCGGAGAGTTTAATGACAGTTCTTCGCACCCTCTCTACGCCCTTGATTTGTAGTAGTAAATGTCATTTATATCTGCATTTTTTTATATTTACGTTCATAAGTGATATATTTTGATAAATGAAGTTTGATCTGATTTATAGGGAAACCAAAGAGACTGAAACAGAGATCCAAATCGGGGATATCAATTCTCTTACGTAGGATAGTCTTCACTATGCAAGCACAGATTGTTAGTAAACAGTTCACATTGGGCATGTTCATTTGTTGCTGGGAGCTTCCTCGCTGGAAGTGGTCGTCTTCTTGCGATTGGAGAAACTGTAGGTTCAGCATTGGCTCGGCGTACAGTTGTCAATTTCGGTGGGTATGTACCTCGACGAATAAGGTTCCCTGTAATTGATTAAATAATAAATATTTATTTATTCAGGTAAGGTCGATGTTAGCTGTTATTTTAGTAACAATCTTGTTTATTAATTAGTCAGGTTAGTTTAATGAAAGTTTTATATTATAATTTAGTTTTTATTAATATAAAAAAGATTTTACTCTGGCTAGGAAATAAAGTTACTGTGTGATATTAATAAATATTGTCCTATTAATATTTATTAAAAAGTGAAGACTGTTTGGTTTAACGGTCGAATAGAATCAATATTTATTAGTTCTTGTATAATGCACACATAATTTTTACTACAATACTTTGGACAATATTGCAAGCATATCAATATAAATTTACGTACTAGTAAAATTGAATTATTTAATCGTACAGTACACTAAAGATTGAACGGATTGCCGAGAAACTGTCTGTATAAATTTAATGACAATATACTTGTTCTTTTCTACGATATCTAGTTGAATTAAATGCGTATGACAATAACGTTGGAAATAAATTGAAAAAATATACTGGAATAGAATTTTAAAATATTGTCGCAAAGATGTCTAAAATATAATTTGTTTTTATTTTTGTTTAAATTTTCTGTTTATTAATGTATTATTATTTTTATAAAGAACATTGTAAATACTTTATATTTGATTATTAAGATTTCTAATTAACGTTAAAAGTCATTTACCAAGTTTCGAAAACATGACATGTCATTATAAATAATATTGCCCGTTCAGGTAATATGGAATATACCTTTTCTATCTAAATATCTGTTCAGTGAACGAAGTTTTTCAGCCACCGGAAGATCTTGAGCGATGCTCTGGTTGGTCGCATCGGTCATCAGATCAAAGGTTCCGTTTTCATGTATTTTCGCGGGTTCTTTCAATTTCAGTCTTTCTGTGGCTTCTGTGATTTTCCTGCTAGAATTTCTCTGAAATTTTCCTTTATTATAATATCAATTAGATAATGATTGGGTAAAAGTGTGTTGTTGTTCACATTTAAGAGTACATTTTAAAATGAGTGTTGCACGTTTTAAATAAACCAAAAACTCAAACCAAATTTAATTCATAATAAAAATGAGGTAATTATATTTTTATAGAAAACTAGTGCTCTGGAAAATTTGAAATTATAAAACTAAAATAGGAATTCTTTCTAAACTCTAACGTTATTCATGTATTCGTGTAGGTTACTTCGCAGTACAGTTCAATTAACTCTATAATGGATTACAAAACATTTTGTAATGCCAAACTAAAAAAAATTGTTTTTATGTTGCTGTATGTAAGATGTAACTTGAAGCTGTAAATTGGATCAAAGGCAATTTGTTACAGGAATTGATATGTCATCACTTACATTGTCTTCTATGTCATTCGACTTAGTGTCGTGTTCTTGCGTAATGTTTTGTATTGTTTTCAGTACATCTGTATTGTTCTGTTTCATGAGTACTCTTGGAGGAAGTCTGATTTTGTCTGATTTAGTGACTCGATCTTGTGTGTCAGCATTTTGTACACCTATGTTAAATTCGTCATCGTTTAGATCCTCTAGATAAGAGCGTCTTTGAAAATGTGGTTGATTTGGAAAACGGTTTTCTATGTGTTGGTTGTCTGGTATGTCTCGCTGCTGAATGTCAAATGGATATGGAATGAATTTTGGGTTTCCTGATAAATATCGTGTGTCTCTTGGTTTCTTCTTAGCGTGAAGGGATCGTTGGATTAGATTAGCTGTGTCCAGTAGTATAGGAAGCATGAGTTCGGCAGTGGAGTTTTCGTTACCAACCAGTGATCTCACCTGGAATGAAAATAAAGTTTTTAGTCGTTATTTAAAATTTACTAAAATGAAATACTGAAATTCTACCAGCGCTGCGATTCTGTAACTCACTTTTCGAACTCACGCAGCGGTTTTCGCATCGGCGGTCGCTCTCAAATCAGTCGTGAAGCAGTAATTTTATGATTTGGCATTCTAAGAAGGTGGGAGCTTGTAGTTTATTATTTATCAGAATGCCAAATCATAAAATGACTGCTTCACGACTGATTTGAGAGCGACCGCCGATGCGAAAACCGCTGCGTGAGTTCGAAAAGTGAGTTACAGAATCGCAAGGCAGGCTCTCAGTAATTAAATAAATAATAATTTGCTAAATTAGTTTTCTCAAGTTAAGCTGTAAGGAATAAGTACAATGCATAGCAACTCCGGGAGCTTTTGCAGTAAACATCTGAGCTGGTTTGGGTATGTAAATCAGAGGATTGTAACTACGACTATCCTAATAACGCGTAGAAGTAATATTAAATATACATATATAAAAACCCTGAAACCTAGTGTCGTGTGTCAAACTCAAAATCAAAATAACTTTATTCATATAAAGAATGAAGTATGAAGTACACCTGTGAACGTCAACAGAAAAGATTTTAAGTGGATTCTAAATTTACATTTACCACCAGTTCGTAAGTCATGGGCGTATACCGCGCGGGAAGAACTGGCTAGAAACTCTCCGACAATCTTTTGAATCGCCAAGTTTGAAGTCATACAAATTGTTTGTAAGGCAGAGCAGCCAAAAATATTTCAACTGGAGCAAATCAATCCCAAGGCTTAGGATCATTTAAATAATCGTCATGTTGTTTATAATACAAACATTTTATAGTTATACACAAGTAGGTACAGTAAAATATGTCTTACATAGAGACACGTATTGTTTTAAGTCTATTATTATATTATATTTCATGGTCCTGAGAACAGGTACAGTTGTGAGACAACTTTCATAGTTGTACTTCTTCTATGTTTATTGTTAGTTAAAGGTCACAAAGTTACTAGTTCAAGTACATATAAAGTATTTGGGTTTAAATTATGCCTGGTTAGAAGCAGTCAGTTTCAAAGAGCTGTTTTAAATTACCAAAAAATTATATTAAAAATTTAACTGAAGAACAACGCTGCTAGATTAGTTGCTTTTTTACCAAAATAATTCAGGTAAATGAGACATGTAGAGCCTGTAGCACTACCTTATATATCTCACTTGTATCTGAAATACAGAGCATTATTTCGATTGCTTTTTAAATTTAACGTAAAAGCGTCGAAATTAAAAGACAGTTTCTGGCCTTGCCTACTTATGAATAGTATTCGAATTATTGAGCTCGTTATCGATGCTAAATAAATTAAAGCAAGACACTTGGATTACAACTGAGCCTTAGCTGGAGCGGTAATATTCTACTGCTATGTAAATATAATTTTATTGTAACATGAATTCCGGTAACTTAAACTATAAAATGTGAAAGTTGAATATTAAAAAACGAAAGCATTATGCTCGATGTAACAAATTGATAATTTATATTCAAAATATGTATTTTATATTACTAGATCGGAACTAGGGCATTTCTTATGCCAGGAAGTAGGTGCACATACTGGGCAATGTGAACTAATCGTTGCCAGTCATTGTACTATTGTGTTACGGTGAATTGTATCATAGTTTTGTAAAATGGCGTAATTTTAAAACGGGTATAAAAAGTTGAAGGTTCATCTGAATGTTGATTAGTGAAACAACAGAAGACTCGAGAGTGCGTTGCCAGCCTTTTTAGATCGTACATAAATGCGATATATTGCTGCTATTGAAGTTTAAGGTAATAATATTATATAGAAATACAATCGTACAGGACTTGTATGTGTGTTCGTTATCGTAAGAAAACTTGTGTAGCAAAAACTTATCTATTTCTCTTTATAATTGTTCGCATCTGGGCCGATATACTTGAATGACGGCCAAGCATCTACCGGTATTAATATTTATAACTTCTATACTGGGAAGCTGATCTACATGAGAAGAAAAAGTGCCTAATTATTGTCATTAATGATATTTCTTTGTATTTAAATTTTTTTCAATCCCAGTCAAAGAACCTTAACCTTATCCAAGATTTTTTAATAGATTTTAACGTAATTTCTTTTTAGATACCACAATGTCTTTTACATTATGGCATTCTTGTATAGATTTAATTTAAACGTCAAAGCTTTTTATCAAATTACTTACTATTTATGAACAAACCTTATCAGTAAGTAAAACTAAAACTTGTATAACGACCGCGCTAGAAAATGGTGTCAAAACTTTTTCATCAGTGATGTAATAATAATAATAATGTATGTTCTATGTAGGTACGTACTCTAACAAACAATGAATTAAGCTAACTTCAGTTGATTTTTTATAAATATAATTTTTTTGTACAGTATTTATCATGTTTTGTATTAAAAAACCTTATCATAGTTTCTAAAAATAATTTCTGATCGGAAATTATACGCATCTGAGGTTATTGACCTACTTGCTCATGTAACAGAATACATAATTGCAGCGTAAGAACCGCCAAGAGAACACGATTTATTAAAACATGCTTTTTATGCTGAAGTATCTAAGACCATGGGCATGGGACAGATGCCTAAGTCGATATTTAGTGGTCTTTTTCCTAGTGTTAGTAGTTCCTAGTTTTTGGTTCTAGTGCGTAACTCCGATAGAATCTGTTTGGTAATAACTACTTTTTGTATCAAAGCGCTAACAACACTTGCGAAGTTACGTGCCAGACACTATAAAATATGTATTTTATCTGTGACGATTCTTTTTTTAATGCACTGACTAGTCTTCTTATAGAAAATAGATTTATATTTTAACAGTTTTGATGCAGGTTTTCGTTTCTTTATACCCTAGAAAACTGTGCACCATAATCCAAAAAAATTGTTGAGTTGGCTCTTATGATACGCTTAATGTGTGTCCCTTGTGCAGAGGCTGTTTCAGCGCAGAGGAATCAGTCACCCACGTAGTCCTGGAATGCGATGCTGTAGTTAAACTTCGTGCAGAAATCCTAGGAACAGTGAGGTCGCTCCGGGAAGCCTGCGATGTATCCAGGAGGTTTCTGTGCTATTGGAAGGAGATAGGCTGGCTAAGTTAGCTAGGACTTTACGTGCATCGGACCAATTATTAGTCTAAGTGCCGAAACTGAGTCCACCAACCTAATAATAACCTGATACGTTTAATGTGTATAAAAAAGAAAAAAAAAGAAATGTAATTAAGAAAGAAAGTAATTAATTAATTAGGATGAGAGAAATGTAATTAATTAATTAGGATGAGAGAAATGTAATTAATTAATTAGGATGAGAAACCTTAAGTGAAGGATGTATCAATAGTATCTATCATTAAATCCACCACCGGAATAATCCCAAAACAGTTACAGGAATCTATCAAATTGTTATACCCCCCGAAATCCATTTATATAATAAAGAAAAACCGCAATTTCTACAATATATATACCATTAAAAGACTGTGTTCACTATGCTTAGACCCATCTGCTACAGTCTCCAGGATCATGAATCAATCCTGAACTAAAGTTACCAAACATAATAATACTCGTAATGTGTAACTCAATTATTTTTAAACTAAATAAAGATAATCGTGAAGTAAGCGGCATGTCTTAGACCCAAAAAAATTTTGCCTTATTAAAAATAACCAACTAAGCAGACGCAGAAACGTTTCTGTTTTATTGCGTAACAGGACTTCATACAACGATTAACAAACAGCACGATTCAATATTCAACCAGTTAGATGACCAATTTGCACAATGAACCAGTTTCGTAAAAGCGACTTTTATGAACAGTCGACGCAAAAAGTCACCAATCTATTTTGCGACACATTTAGTGCGATTAGAAAATTTCTTCCCACAGCTATTGGTTTTTACACTTTCGTAATTAGCTATGAGAAAACTAATTTTCCTTTTAATTGATACTATATATTGTTAAACGAGCGTGTGCGTAATCAAGGCTTTAAATCTCTAAAAAAATAGGTTTCTTTTATAAATTCATATGTAAAAGGAAAATCAAATCAAATGAAAGAAAATATTCGTGAAAAGAAGTATGGTGTGTTATCAAAAGTAAACACGGTACTTCGTGGTATGATAGTAAAAAAAATTAAAGTAGCGAGGATTTATTTTAAGCTAGGCTTTTTGAACAAGATCCCTACCAAAGCTTTGTCAATAAATAAATATAAATAACGTTTTAAACATATGTTATTTGCTAAGGTAACATATAATGTTAGGGGTTTGTATGACGATGCTCCGATTACCAATCTGAAATAATTATTGTTTTACTGGGGATCGAATCTAGGGCCACCGTTATAAAAACAAATTATTTAATGCATACTATGATATGAAAAATATAATTACAAAACATATATATACGTCTTTTATTGAGCATGTATCTCAATATAAGCAGTTAAAAATCTTATGTCAATTAATATTTGCATTAAGAATTAAATTATTATTAAACCAAAAATATATAGAATAACTTGATCCCTTTGTTGTGTAACTATAAATTAAGCCCTGTTCAAATGACCCAAAAATCTTAGTTTGAAACATAACAACTATCTTAATAACGCTTAACAAATTTGTTTTTAACATTTACCTAGACAATCTTGTTGGCAATTACACAAATATATTCAAATGATTATGTAAGTAAATTTATAATAGTAAAGGCATGCGATTTCAATTCAGAATTTATATAGAACGTATCGTTAACCAATGGCAAAACAAAAGAACAAAAAACGGTAAAACGATCAACGCCACTTCTGGCTTTAGATTTCTGTATCAGTTTCCTTAATCATTCATTATTTGTAGATAATTAAATATCGCCATCGATTTTTATACAAAAATAGACACTGTATTTAAATTAAACTAAATCAACTTTTGTATGTTGTAACTTTAAAAGTTATTGTTGGATCTCCTCGGCTTTGGTTTGGAGGGTAAAAAAATGGAGAATTGATTAATAGTATATAAAATAGTATTTAAAATAGAAAAGAGAGAAAAATTATGATTATTAAAAAAATATAGAAAATAATGTTTTCTGTGGTGTAACTAAACATAAGTTTTGAAATTAATTGGCACCGACGAAATTACAAACATCAACTAGTAACACATGTCATTAGGACGAAAATATGAAAGTTAAATTGCACTACTTTTGAGGCTAATTTGTTTAATTATAAGTGCTTACCTTAGTCAAATGTCATGAAAAATATTTTTATGAATATTGATATCAATCTAATATTCACCCATAGTATGTTAGGTAGGTAATATTAACGTTAAACTTTAGATAGTGATATTATAAATGTAATTAATACAAAAATATATTGATTATTTTTGTTTCTTTGTTTATTTAATGCAAGGTTTTGTCGGGAAAACGTTCGGCGTGGTGTGCAAATAATGATACTTTACTATTTCTTCAAAAAGCATTATATGCATACAACTTAATTTTGGAACGCGAAAGGAAAATTGATTTGGTTTGAACAATTATTAAGAAAACTATCTTTTTAATTTACGGCTATTTAGCACAAAAGATAGTCCATTGTTATTATTATCTGGCTATAATAAATTAAATTTTATTTACCTGTGCCAGATTTAGGACTTGTCTCCCAGGCGCTGACACTTGACTTGCCACCAATGAGGCTAGCGCCACCCTCTGGTTCCCTGACATCGCCCGTATAATCGGGAGAATCTGTGCAAAATTTCCCATGTGATTCTTCTTCTTCTCCAATGCCCTGAGCACCGCCTCCCTCACCATCCCCTCACTGTCCTTATCATCGACCTCTATAGAGTCTAAGTTGTATTGCGGCCGATGCGAATTCGTGACTCCTCTGGGTTTAATAATCCTCACGGGAGGCTTAACTATGGTTTCGTAATGTCGGGACTCCTGAGCGATCATAACTTCCTGAGGATCATACTCCAAGTCATAATCCGCTTTAACCAATACAAAAATAAATAATAGGAACTTCATGTTGCACGTTGGATCACTTCACATATTAAAACACGCGCGATCCACAGTTGCTCGGCAAGTGGAATGAGCAAACATCTGAGCTCTCGCATGTCAAGATTTACCGGATCTCGCGGCTTTCTCCCATAGAAGGGTCACAAAAATGACCCGGTAACTCCGGTCATATCTGATGCATTGTACCCAAAACAATTACGTAAAGTATAATTGGAAATTGTTTATCGGCAATTTTGTTGATGTTTCTATGTGCTTGGCGAATGTATACTTTATATATTGTTAATAAAGTTTTGTTTTAGCAAAGCGCCAGCCAGATTTGCCGTTGGCAATGATAGCAAAAATTATCAGAGATGCTTTCACACTCCGTTACGTCACTGTTACGAAAGCTATCGACGATTTTTAATAAAAGTACGCAAGTTTTGAAGATGATCAAGCGTATAATTCGCGTTTGTGTTACGTATGTTATGCGCGGCAGTTTTAATAAGTTTTATTGTTTTCCAAGTGGTTGGTGATAAAACTTCCATTCAAAACAAATCCCTATATAGCCTAAATTAAGTATAAAAGTGTTTTTCTTAATCTCTCGTTAGTATACGTTTATTAAACAAACATTATAATACAAATCAAATAGTATGATGAAATAAATAGAAATGTTCACTTTTCTCAACCGCATGCCAGCCTCAACTTTGTCTACTTAGTTAATTGAACATTGTTGTTAAATATTATTATACAACCTGTTTCTTGCAATAAACACTCACTAATTCGCTTCAATAGTGCATTTAACATGATCAATAGGCTTAAACTCCATGCAGAATCAAAACATTGGTTTGTAAGAGAAAAATCCTTCAAGAAAAGAGCGTACCAATTCTTGAAAGTCCGGCAACGCAATTACTTTCTGGCAATGTAACTGTCCATGGGCGGCAGTATCACTTAACGTCGGGTGAACTTCCTGCCCGTTTACCTCCTATTACATAAAATCATTGGTTTATGCCTACTACTTAGTAATAATATGCCTTTTTATTTTTTATTTTCTTATTAATTCATTTACTACAGTGTGCAGTTTCACTGTTTTACGTTGTCTAAATTTTTTAGAGTATTTTTAAAGAACCTCCCAGAAACGTTACAATTTGGTATCCAAAAATCTCTGAATATCTAATACGATGAATCTCACTCAGGCCACGATGTGACCACCGATGCCAAAATATTAGCAATTTTATTTGCCAGCAGTAACTGGTCTATTTCATATCGGGGATAAAGCCGTAAACACTATCTGTGATATTTTTTCCGGAACAATTACTGTATCGGGCTAAATTGATTTCATGATCTCTAGATTTTGAGTTAACGCAGTGAACTAAAGCATGGAAACAGTTTGACTTCTGAATAAAATGAAAAAACTCTTTCCTGGCCTAGTCTTCCATTCGAAGTGATTTGGGCATTTTTCGTAGAGACTCGTGTCTTTTAGGAAAATCAATTATAGCCTACATACATGTACCCTCTACGATTTTATTGCCTATATTTAAGACTAGCTGTTACCCGCGACTTCGTCTGCGTAGAACTACTACTTCGTGTAAATTTGTTTGGACTGAATTGGCTCTGAAACTATAATGAAACGATTCTAATGAAGCCGGCACATTGAATTATTGAGATTAACATAGGTAGACTTTTCCTGACCCTGATCCCTGACTTAACTTAGTTTAATACGTTTTTGTATACGACATTTTTTGTTTTTCCTTCTTTGGTCAAAACATGTAGGTTTTGTGGACTCGATACTCGTGAGCACGCCACATACAGTTGCCCATGGGAGAAACAGTTTTTTCTAAATGAACACCAGCTACTTTGAGTGTCTGTCCTTGAGCTTTGTTTATCGTCATAGCGAATGCTGCTTTCAGGGGAAATTGTACTCTTTTGAATTGGAATGGCAAATCGGTAGGGATTATTGGAATACGGGGAATTAACACTTCTTCTCCCTTTGCTGTTCCTGTCATAATTATTGCTCTCACAATATTGCGTCCCAGGTGTGTAATTTGTGTGCCATTACACATTCTTGGTGCGTCAAGATTTCGCATCAACAGGACCGGGACACCTACTTTTAGCCTCAACTTATGGGAAGGCACCCCCGATAATTCTAAGGAGTTAAGAAATTCTACAGGGAACGATGTCACTTGCTCAGTGTCCATGACATTGTCTACGGACAGATACTCAACAAAATCACCTTCCACATCTGACATGATTTGTTCGTTGATCTGCCCCACTACTTCGTTTGTCGGTGCTAAAATTGCCCTTTCGCACAGCCATTGTCTGTTCTTCATATTGGTTGCAAGATCGGGATAGACGTTGTTCTTTAAGTCATCCATGTTACAGACAACATTACAAAATTCACGATTCAATGTAATCATTCCGTCACTATTTGTTTCCATACGGTCTTCTCCAATTTTCAGAAGAGCATCCGCATATTGCACCAATTGTGTATCACTGTGCAGTTGTACTCGCATATTTGTAGTCAGACAAAAATTTTTTACATGCACCCATAATGGAGACGCTTTTAAACATGCATTTATTTCATCTGCCGGCGTGCCTCTAGTAATAACCGGCAGAGTCTGTCTAAAATCGCCAGCTAAAAGTACCACCATACCACCCATGATACTTTGGTTACTCTTAATATCTTTTATGGTCCGATCTAGTGCTTCTATCGCTCTTTTGTGGGACATGGTACATTCATCCCAAACCAACAGCTTACATTGCTGTAACATTCGTCCACGGTCACTATTTTTAGTAATGTTACAAACTGGCATTTCCTCATGAGCTAAGTTCAATGGCAGTTTAAGTACTGAATGTGCCGTTCGGCCACCATTAAGTAACGTAGCTGCTATTCCAGAAGAAGCTACAGCAACAGCAACTCCTTTATCTTTACGAATTTGGGCTAAAAGTAAATTTAAAAGAAATGTTTTACCCGTGCCTCCTGGCGCATCCAAAAGAATAAACCACCTTCGCCACTTTCGATTTTTTGCACAACATTCTCAAAAACTAATCTTTGTTCTGGGTTTAGACGCGGAACAGACTCAGTTATTTGTTGTTGTAAAGAAGCAGCATCGTAACTCAATTCTCTTATTATATCACTGCAAACTTCCCCAGTTCTTTGCGGCCTGCTCAACCCAAAATCTGACAAATCTTTCCCAGTTATAGTTATGACTTGGTCTTCTATCTTTGTTAGGGCTTCATTAAAAATGAAATCATTGTATGTAACGTTTGGATTATGATGTTGTACTCTGTGTAAAATATCGTCGGCCATTTGAATTTTGTACCTTTCCCACAGTTGTTGAGGGTTTGAAAGCCCACATGTCGCTATTAGTATAGCAAAAAGCATTCTCACCTTGGCCGCTGATCTACATTGTGCAGCCTCTTCCAGTGTTATATTCCAATGATTGTCATCCTCCAATAATCCTCTTGCCTCACATGCCTCTCGAAATGTTGAAAATTCTTGATTGTTGTATTTTTTGAGATCATTGAAAGAGGTTGGCCCACGCACATGGTGTAGAAGCATCCTTAAACAAAAACATTCCATGTTAGTAACATGGACTGTGTAAACCCGTCCTAAGGCATCTCCAGATTTGACACCAGGCCAGTTCTGAACCGAAGTTCCTTGAATTCGGCGTTTCCAAGTTTTTCTGGTTGCGTCCCATGTGTAATATCTCGGTACCTCAGCATACATAAGAGTTCTTGCAAACTCATCTCTTATGCAAAGTTCAAAAAAAGCTGTAAGGGTGGTTTTTGGTCGAGTAGATAGTCGCTCGTGGAAATTATCTTCTGTAAAATAAACTCGTTCACCGTTCTCTAAGTGTACACTTAGATGTGTAACGGTGGGGTGCCTTTCGTGCAACGGGAACCCTAATAACCGCCACACGGCTTCGTTGCTGCTAACATAACGACCAGATTGATATGTATGTACTTCATTTACGCGATTTGCAAGCTCTGTGCTCCTAAAATTGAAAATAGCTTGGTCACTGCCTTTGTTAATATATTTGCAGATATATTTGATAGCGCGCACTGAACTGCAAGCCTCAACATTTATATGGGCGTTAAATATTTTTAATAGAATAGCGGAATAAGGGACCACCCAACTATTATCAATAGTGACGTAACTCCCATTTCGTAGTTTCACAGATGCCGTTCGACCTCCGTCTGCTGGTGCTCTTCTACGATAGAGTGGGTATCCGTTTTCACTGTGGACAGTGTCTTTGTGTAATTTGCGAGGAAATTTCTTTGTGCATTTTCCATCTTTCATGCAAGGGCACTGAGGATTTTCAGGTCCACATGGACCATGAATCATGTTTTTAACTATAATATCATGAAGTGTCTTGTCAGTGCTTGGATCGGGTATTTCTGCGCTGATAATATTATCAATTTGATCGGGTCTCAACTTGTCTTTTAACCACAATAATATGTGGACATGTGGTAGGCCACGCTTCTGCCACTCTATGGAATACATAAAGCAGATCACTTCTCCAAATATTCTGCCTTTGGAAATAACAGACATAAGTTTTTTAACTTTCAACCTAAAAACTCTTGCGACTACATCATGCCTATCAATCGCGCTTTGACCCGGCATTAATTCATTTACTATTTCCGGCCATGCTGGGTTGCAAGTAAACGTAACGAATAAGTCAGGGCGACCATATGTACGTACATAAGCAAACGCATCCTGAGTATATTCGTGTAAGTACCTCGGACTATTTACAAATGAAGACGGTAAAATTATCATTCTACCAATATCATTTGGATTTAGATTAGCGTCATTCGCTACTGCGTCTTGAAGGTGGATATAATTTTCTGCTCTTAATTTAGTTTGATTTAATGTTATGTATCGTAATCGTTCACTTTCTACCTTAACGTACATATCAACATAAAACTGATTGGCCAGTTGCCTGCATCGTGATATAATATTAAAATCATTTTCTCTAATCATGATATGAAAGGCATAAAAGTCCATACATGATACCTTTTTGTTAGGCAAG